GTTTAAAAAAAAAAAAAAAAAAAAAAGCTAAACTAAAATCCTCGTTTAAGGAGCGTCTCGCATATTTCTGCTTTTTAAAAACACGAGATGAATTTTTTTTTTTTTTTAATTCAACAAGCGGGCCGGATTTAACCCTTAAGTGCCCGAATTTGGCCCACGGGCCGTATGTTTGACACCGCTGGTCTAAACTATTTCTTCTGATTGGAAACTTGAAAATTGTATAGTTTTCCAACTAGTGATATCCCAGGTACTGTGATGAGTACTATAGCACAGTACAGGCTACAGATATTCCTACCTGTTGGTGGAGGAAGGAGAAAATAGAAACAGAGGGCAGGGTATCTGCAGTTAAGCACAGCCAATTAAAAAAAAAAAAAATTAAAAAAAATATCTTTGTAGTCTTATCTTTAAAAAACTATTTAACCCATGATTTCCCTTTTTTAAAAAAAAGAAAAACCCAGATAATAATTTCCATAGTCAAATAAAAAAAAAAAACCCCAAAAAACAAAAACTAAAATCCTCGTTTAAGGAGCGTCTCTCTTTTTTAAAAAAACACGAGACAAAGACTTTGCCTGACTTTGGACCAGGCCAGGGCTGGACGTCTTCTTGATCTGCAGCATAATGAGGTATTAGCTTCCATTACAGCGCAGGCTTAACCTTTTTTGCGCAGCACCATTGAGCTCCTGCCAGCCGTCATCAATATTTAACAGCTGTTGCTATTATGAAATTCTTTATGGGCTATTGTGGCTCGCCGGCTTGCACGCAAGGCCTTGGCGGTCGGCCAGCAGCCTGTCAAGAGGAAGGGGGGGAGGATTGACAGACGGCTCGCTCGCGTGACAACCAGCCCTTGATCAGCCAGCCTCTCTCTCTCTCTCTCTCTCTCTGTGTGTGTGTGTTGCCCGCTCCACTGTGGATTTCCTGTGCCTGTGGAGGAGAGAGAGGAAAAGGAGAAGAAGAAGGCAAACGCTGAGGGAAGAGGGCGGGAATAGGCAAAGGAGGTGGCTGGGAGCCAACCCGACCTCAAACACACACACACACACACACATAGACTTGTTCATCTATTCTTACTGGGACTTTTTTTTTTTTTTTTTTTGCATTATTATTTACTATTTAATTCTTTCTAACCAAAAAGGTTAACCCGAGCTAACCAGAGAAACAGGGTTGTGTTTCGGTAGAAAAGGGTTGTTCTACATGTGGAGCGCGGGTCCTAAGAAGACCAGCAACAATGCCAGGAATGGTCCTGACTATGTAAGAAATACAAGTTCACACACACACACACACACAGAATTTCCTCTACTCACGCAAGCCTTGTGGGAGAGGCGGGGAGGGGAGGGAGGGAGGGAGGGAGGGGACGGAGAAGAGCTGAGCTGAGCTGTGTTTGCATACAGGTCTACAGCATTCCTCCAAAAAAAAAAAAAAAAAAGCAGACAGGCACAGAGAGGACAAGCTGCCAAAAGATGGCAGTCAAGTGAACCCCATGTAACGTGGATAGAAAATATCTGTATTGAATCTATATATGTATAATATACAATGTATGTTTACATGTATATATACAATAATAAAGTAAAGCATAATGCTTATACATTATGCTTTACATATATATACATTATACGTCATATATACATTATACATTACATACATACATTATACTTACATTATACTTATACATGCTTTAATATGTATACTAATAATAATACTTTTAATACAATAGTAAAGCATAATGCTATACATAAAATACATGTATAGATATATATACATTGTATATATATACAGATATAGATCTATATATATATAGCTATACTAAACATTTTACTAAACATTCCAAATACATATTATAGTATATTGATAGCCTTGTAGACCAGTGTTTCGCAAACTTTCGCAAAAGTCACAAACTTTCATTTGTGACATTATTCGTAAACTTCTGGGAAACACGATGTCACTACGACCCCCCAAAAAAAAATTCTTGCGACCCACCTGAGGGCCGCGACCCAGTTTTTGGGAAACAATGTTGTAGTCTATGGCTTTTACACATACCTTTCCAGCTCCGTGTGTGTGTGTGTGTGTGTGTGTGTTCAAGAGCAGCAGCCATGTTTGCTCATTTACCCGTACCTTATTTCCTGTCACTCTGTTAAGAGCACTAGCTCTAGTACTTGCTGTAGTACTCTTCCGTTCGGGATGCATGCTATACCTGTATTATACCCCGGTACTCGCGCATCGTAAAAACGGTTGGAGTCGTGTGACAATCCTCAGGGGCGATGTCATGCCGAGACATCGTGCGATCTAATGCCCCTAATGCACAACAACGTCCCATTGAAATATTCATCCCCCGCGTCAGCCGTCATTTTGTGAGACATTTCTTTGTGTTTTAGGTCCATTATGTCCACATTATAAGTCCGTCAGTGACACTATGAGTCCACTGAGGATTCAATGAACCGACCCCCTCCCCCCCGTCCCCCACCCCAACCCTCACCACTCTCTTCCTTGTAGAAGACTGTATTCCTGCTTTTCGTGCGTCGTCTTCTTTGCTACATGCTAACATTTTAGCACGTAGCTCCCTCCCTCTCCTGTCATTGCGGCGAATGGGTCCACGGTATAAGCTTCGGTGAATTGGCTTCCACGAGAAAACAATAACAAGCAAACGAAATACATAGGCTGAAGATGACACCTGATTGGCTAAGTTGGCTAAGTCTTCAAGAAATGAAAAAAAAAAAAAATTTTTATTTATTTTTTGGAAACTTTATACCAATAGTTTCACCTCAGAATTGTTATAATCTTGTTACGTAATCCCAAATTTATTTAAAGTTTTTAATTAATTTTCTAGTAAATTCTTCAGTAAAACTCTGACTACAGTGTGTAGCTTCACAGACGCCACTTGTCTCCCTTGTCTTCCTGTCTGTTTCTGCTCCTTAAACGCATCGCGTTAATCCCGTGTCGTCACTCATCCAAGGTGTTCACCGACCCAGATGACACGCTGTAATTGCGCATACCGATGTAGTAATATCCACTGGGTGGTCGGAAAACATACGTTGTGTGTACTCAGTGGAAGTGGAAAGAAGTACAGACCAAAGAAGACCGACTCTTTGAGCCCCACCCTTGGCAGCTTCTCCATCCCCTCGCGGTACTTTTCACAAATTACTTAAAACTCTGTCGTCTCGGAGAACCGTAAACGCCACACCATTACCCACTGTTTTCCTTGAAAGACCAGGGGGGAGGGGGGTGGGGGGGGGGGGTAAAGAGGCTAGGAAAAGCAAACCCCAAGACATAAGTGGTGATGAATAAAGGCGGTATTGTTGGCAGAGGAAGCGGCGGTGTCGATAATTAATCATCCTGTGTGTTTGTCTTTCCTGGCGCTGCATCCTCTCCAAAAAAGTGCCGTAAGAGCGAAAAAACAAAAATACACCAGGTGACGAGGGAAGAAACTAACGCGACTTATTAGATTCATTTCCTCCCGCCACGCTTTCCAGCGGCTGGACGGTTTTCGGTGACGGAAAGGAATAATTTGCTGCGTTGGTATTTGTTTGCACCAAAAGAGGCCGATGACAAAATACTTGAAAACGACCTGTCAGCGTTTTTTTTTTCTTTTTTTTTCTTTTTTTTTTTTTTTGCCGTGTTCCCCTCGCGTGGCGCCCCCAAGGGCCCGCGGGCCCTGGGGGGGGGTTGAATGAAATGATTAAGTGTGATTTTTGACAGATTAAATGCACGGTCCAAACGGGGGGCGAATAAGCGCATTAGCGTAGCGTGCCGCGGCGTGGAGTTAAGAGTGACGCAGGCTCCCCCTAACGTCACGAAATCGGCAATCAACGGCCCGCGATGGCGAAATCTGAACAAAGAACGGTCGCAGGAGGAGGAGGAGGAGGAGGAGGAGGCTCAAATGAGGGGTGGATGGGTTGGGGAGGGAGGTCGTGGGGGCGGGGGAGGTCAGAAGACGGTGGAAGGTTGAAGGGGGAGGAACTGAAGCCGTAATGGGGTTAGTTGGTGGAGGTGGGGTCTGTACGTGGCAAGATCGCAAGATTCATACATACATACATACGTATTTAAATTTTTTTTTTTTCATAATGAGGCTTCGGTGTGTGTGTGTGTGTGTGTGTGTGCGTTGCGTGACTAATCTGCTCCTGCTACAATGAGTGATGGAGCGAAGGGCTGATCTCTTGGAGTGAGCCACATGCCCCCTGACAGCACACCCATACGAGAAACACGCAAACAGGCCTCGAACACGCAACATACACATCACCACTGCACATGTGACACTTCTGCACGCCACGGTCTTATAGGCTAATTGCGTGCGTTACACACCATCCCCCCCCCTCCCCCCCCCCGGTACGCGGCGGTTGCGTAGGCCTCTCCTCTTCGACGCGGGAGTGGCGCGGCCGTCGATTTTCGGGCGGTTTCTTTTTTTTCTGTTTGAGATTTTAGTTCAGGTTCAGGCGTGTCGTTTGGGAGAGAAACACAAGTGAAGACGGGAAATTATTGATTGTGTAGATGTGAACGATTGAGTTCACTGTTGTACTTGATCGAAAAATTTTTTGTTGTCTTCTCTGTATTTTTTCACCCTCGGTGATCGGCCATCGATCGCTGATGTCCAGTTAGCCCTCAGTTAGTGAACCTGGTGAACTGTCCGTGGACCCGTATCGTGTGAGAGCAATCCCGTAAAGCGGAGAAATCCTGCACTGTTTGGTCTTGTTAGACAGACCCGCCGCACAGACTAATACCTGGAATTAGCGCAGTGTTAAGGGAGACTGATACAGGCTAATGTGTCGGCCACATGTGAGAGCGCAGGCCCCGAAACTGACACTCGGCCACATGTGAGAGCGCAGGCCCCGGACCTTTGGTAGAAACTGACACCTCGTTCTCTAGTCATCCTGAGCTGTACAGACACCGGCTGTATTTTTTTAAAAATTTAAAAAAAAATTCCATTTGCTGCAATATAACATTATTATTATTTTCATTTGATATATTTCACTATATATTTTTTTTCTGTTTTTTTTTTTTTCCCTTTCAAATAGCAAGCCATGAAAAGACTCCCCGGAAACACGTCATCAACTCGGCGCCCTCCAACCCCGAACCCAGGAAAGAGAGCGCTGCGCTGGGCACCGCCGTCAATGAGAGCAGCCTCCTCCTGGAAGTAAGAAACCATATGGTCGTTGTGTGTACTGCAGGTTATTTGTTATGTGTGTGTGTGTGTGTGTGCCCTCCGCCCTCTACCCCGACCTCCTTTGTGAAGACGTGGTGTTGCGTGACATAGGGGTGAGACAGTAGTGACAGAGCTGATGGAGGAGGTGTGTGTGTGTGTGTGCGTGCGGGCCTTTGTGTTTGAGTGCGTGGATTGTGTGTGAAAGTGAGCAAACGAGAGTGAGAAGAACACACCAGGCCCGTCAGCGGCAATCAGCGCACGTGAGATCTGTGTTTTCTCACTTGACCTCCGACCTTTGGAAAGGCTGCGACCACCGGATAGTGACGTGTGCACATGTTCGTCCTGATTTGCAAAAGCGGAGAAGAAGGGCGTTCGTTTGTCCTGACGGACGCTAACGCACATGCATCTTGACGCGCCAAAGAACGTATTGTTGTTTAAATTCCTCGAGACGCCAGTGCTGTCAAACATAGGGCTCGCGGGCCAAAACTGGCCCGCTCGGGTGCTCCATCCGGCCCGCTTGATACATTTTGGAAATATAAAATATATATATATATTATATTTATATACATAATAAAAAATGCATATAAAAATATACATAAACACTTTATTTTTTGTAAAATTCGATTTCATTAAATAATAATAATAATAATAAATAGTGTACTCTTCAATATTTTACATGGTATAAAAATAGCAAATTTTTTAAAAATTTTTAAACAACAAAGAAACAAAATCTGGTCTCACTAATGATGATTTAATGGACCAAATAAAATAAAATATCACTCCATTTATCCCATGCACAGGACGCGAGTGTCAGAAATCTGCTGTGTTCATCACCGGCGCTTTAATCCGATACAGACGTATGGACGGTATGGAGACCAAAGCGCACCCAGACGTATGGACGGTATGGAGACCAAAGTGCACCCCCGCCCCGGCCCCCTCTCAGCTCCCGCCCGGTTCCCTTCATGCCTCTGAAACCCATGAACATATATTTTATTTTGGGGCCTGCGTGCAAAGTGCCTGTTAGGATTTTGTAAATCAAAGCTTATAGTCTCCCTTGGGTGGTTTTAGGAGCCGGGGCCTTGGTTGCAGTTGCAGATATGCAAGTGGAGCTGGCCAGCAGCAGGTGCCTGTTTCCATTACCTAAAGGCTTCAGTATGTGGGGAACTGCAGGGAAATGGTGAATGGAGAAAACATGCAGGAACGGCGTGGAGCGCACGTTGGTTCCCACCGTCCTTTTGGAAGGAACGTTACTTCCACAGATCGTGCGTACGTGAAAGTGTCACGACTCGTCAGCAGCGGTGAAAAGCACCGATATGAGTCACGCTCGTTTTCCACCGAGGTGTGCAGGAACGTGTTTAGAGTTTTATTTCATGTCAGGTCAGTGATCCCGACTGGGTCCGAGAAAATAAAAGCGTCTGACGCTGAATGCGTTACAGGTAAAAAAACCTGTGGGTTTTTTTTGGAACGTGAAGAGGTTGAAACGCTTGAATGATCATAATCATCATCTGTTCTCTGTCGCTGAGCTGTATAAATGCTTGGGCCCCATATGGATGTGAGGGCGTCACATGGACTACGGTAGTCGGATAATCAGGGCCAGAGCTGCGGAATGCTGTTAACACGGTGAACGGCTGCGCTGCTGAAATACTTCCGACGTGACTCAACGTTTCTGAAATGTTGCCTGGGAAACCTGAAGTAAAAGCAAAAGCTCGGGGGCCAGACATGAGTAACAAACATGTTCAATATGGACTCAAATGTGTTAAGTCAACATTTCACTTGAGCTGTGACAGGCCTATAAACATCGTCTGGTTCCTCTTTTTCCACTTCCATTTCTTTCTCCTGCGCTCCTTTGGTTGTTGTTTTTTTTCTCGTCTTCTTCTTATTCATCGTTTTGTTCCCCTTCTCTTCTGGCCTTTCCTTTTCTTCCTCTTTTTCGGTTTCCTTTCTCACCACTTCTCGACGAGAGCGTAACGCGGCGGTTCTCAAACAGACAAAATTCTTCTCACCACTTCTCGACGAGAGCGTAATGCGGCGGTTCTCAAACTGACAACATTCTTTAAAAAAAAATTAAATTTTTTTTTGTTGAGCTAACACCCTTATTAAATAGTAAATTATAATAAAATATGATATATATATATCTATGATAAGTAATACATTTATAATACAGTTGTGACATCAACACGCCACCAGCAGGGGGCCGCCCCACACTTTGAGAAACACTCTAATGACATCCTTTCTCGTGTTTCGACACCTCTCACCTTTCATCATCTTTTCACTCAATCATTATGTGCAGGGAATGTCAATTGCGACAGCAGTGATGTCCGTCTCTGTCAGGTCGCCCTCTGCTGCCCTGTCGCGGCGTTACACCGAGGCACGTCCGGGTTCATTGCGCTCCACGAAGTCACGTCAACGCATCGTGTGCACCTTGAGCGGGGCATTACAGTAATCGCCGAGGCAATTAGATCACTGCTGCGAGAGTGAGGGGGGGAAGGGGGGGCGGAGGGGAAAACAGCCGAGCATGAGTGTACATTTTAAAGGCCACGGGGTTTTTACGTTATGGCTAAGAACACTCACTCACTCACTCACTCACTCACGGGCACGCTCGCCAGGGAAGACCTGCACAGTCTCGCGGTAAAGCGGAGGTGACAGACTCTGGCAGCCGGCGTCACGCGAGTCCAGTGACCTTGCAGTTGTCACGCAATTGCAGCCGTGCGCGCAGACACAAAGAACCACCCCCCCCCCCCCCCCGACCGTCCTCTGCTCTTCCTGACCTAGCGTCCGTCCGTCCCTCCTCGTGCGTCCCAGCAGCCTTCATGTGTTTATTTAAAGTTTTCTTTTTAATCATCACCCGTCTGCGTAAGCAGCGCTGGACGAACACGTTATTTCCTCCAGTGTGTTGTGTTTGTAGTTTCTCTGCTTTTGATCACTGTGTTCAGTGTCACAAATCAAAAGCACTTCACCAGTCGCACAGACCCAATTATCAAAGTTTCCAAATGGTTATAAAATACAAGTTTAAAGAGAGGATCAGATCGGTCCGTAAGTCATCTTTTAACTGCATTAAAAAACAACAAAAAAACAAACCAGAAACAACCCATGGGTGCTGTATAAATTCTACTCTCTCTGAAAAACTCAGTAAAAACTCTGCAGGAATCTGGAAGTTTTCTTTGGATCGCTACGTTTCACCGCCATCTGCCTTTCATTCCTCCTCCCAGTTCCATATGATTATGTCTTCAGTCTTAATCGTTGTTTGCTGCTCGGAAAAAAAAGACTCTAGAAACAAAGACTTAATGCACGCTTTGCCGTCGAAGACTCCGGAGGATTCGGTTTAATCGAGTTTGACGGGCGACGATGGCAAACCCCGTCGTGTTTGTCAACAGTTGTGTGTTTGTTAGACTGGTTTATTTTCTGCCTGACCTGCTTTGACTCACACATCTTCTTTCTGTTGCTCTGCTCCTGTGTGTGTGTGTGTGTGTGTGTGTGTGTGTGTAGTCCCTGACAGGCTTCGCCCTGGTGGTGAGCAGCGATGGAATGGTCTTCTACGCCTCCTCCACCATCGTGGATTATCTGGGTTTTCATCAGGTGAGTGAAACCAAATGATTGTTCCATTTATGTATATATATATATAAAAAATCTGTTCATTTAGTTGTGTTGTTTATATCATGGGATTCCAACCCCTGGTCCGGGGACCAGCGCCGGTCCGTAGGTCATGTGGTACCGGACCACAGTGAATAAATTGTACTTCAGTTTTAATAAAATAAAATAAATAAAATTAATGATAAAAAATCCAGTCATATAAAGTCTAAGAGATGTTTTATTTTGAAAATTTAATCCTTCAACGATGGCCCGATATTACCAGTTTGCAGTAACGGCTGATCCTTGGTACAAAAAAGATGGTGGACCGTGAATTTATATCATTCATACAGCTTGAAAGAATTTTACTCTGACCCTGAATCATATAAAATTTGACATAAATTCCAGCCCAAACTCCTTTTTTTAAATTCCACTTCTTTTTTTTAATCTTCGTTTGGCTAACGAATGGCGTAAAAACGCACTTTACATTCATTATAGAGCCATAGAGAGAAAACGGCGGTCGTTTAACCCGCGGACGAACTATCGTGTGTCCGGACACTCGCGTCTTTGTGAAGGTGTTAACCGTCGTAACTCAGTTGGATGGTAGCAGGCCGCCATTAATTATGGAGCTAGCAACACAGTCTGGCCCGTGGCGCAGTACTAAAGTTGGCCCGCGAATTAAGTGCATTTCGGTGTCGAAATGTATCCCTCGCTCGCATGCTAGCCTGACAACCTGAAGCGGTGAAACCACTTAGCTCTCAATCAGACAGCGTCCCTAACCAAGTACCGTGAAATCGACACGAGGAGCAAAACGGTCGTAATGATTCCCTGAGCCAGAACATAGGGACAAAGGAACGTAAACGTTACTACTTGTGGCTTATTCAACAGGTTTTAAGTAGGGATGTCCGATATTAACCTTTTGGCGATATCCGATATGTTGATATTGTGCCTACAGTTAATTTTCGATTCCGATATCAACCGATACCGATATAGGTCTGGTGGTATTTATTTATTTATCTGTAGAAACCACTGTTTTAGGGCATACGATCCCCTCATTATTAAAATAGATTATTTAGATGAGCCACAATGCTGCCATCTAGTGACTCTAACGAGCATATGCAGCCGTTTTTCCCCAAAACTATTTTTAAGGCACACGTCATTTTAATAAAACCCAGGCATTAGGTTATCGGGTTTTCATTATCGGAGGAAAAACCGATAACGATTCCTACAGATTTTACGTAATTACGCTAACATCTGCCGATAATATCGGTCGGCCGATACAGTCACAGTCGCTATAGTAACACTGCAGGTATAATGTTGAGCAGCAAAGTTGCTCCACTGTAGGCGAAGAGGAAGGAAGTGCTCAGGTGATGACGGTGTAACGCAGATCATCCATGACGTCTCGTATTTCTCTGGTTCTAGAAAACAAAGAAATCTCCGCTAAGAATGAGGAAATTCACTTAACGGATCTACGATAAACAACCACAGGGTCGGCGGAGCCTGACGTGTCCTACGTGATACTTCGATAATCCGTTCATAACCGTTTCCTACCTTCTAAAAGCCCGCTAACGCAATTTCACACATTTTTACCCAGAGCATTTAGCCGGAAATATTTTCATTTTTCTTTTCTCTCCAAGAAACAAACCATAAATGCCATCATTTTGAGTTGGGATTTGAAAAAGTACAATCGATCATCATCTGTCATTAAACAATTTTCTGGACTTTCCCAAACGCTTACTCCTCTCCCAGGCCTGGACAACATGTCACATAATTTGTTGGCCACAATTGTAGTCCGAGACACTTTTCCCTAATATACCACAGTAAAAGAGAAGGCCAGAGAGCACTTCACTGAGGAGCACCACAAGAAAGCCTGGGAGAAGAGCAGGAAACCATCGCTGCTCTTTGATCCCGTTCTAACTGAGGCAGTTAAACCTTAGAAGCTCAACGAAAATATCACTTATTTTCCATTTTCTCCTCTCTGTGTGTGTGTGTTTTTGTTTTTTTACGACTTACATAAACAATAGTCACTGGATCCGTCTGCCTGACTGCCGGTAGGGGAACCAAACCGCACGACCAATGGCGTTGGCTGAAAACGGTGGGAACTGATTGTGTTTTCAAAGGCAGGCCATCAAAAACCCTCGCGTGCCACCAGTGTGGAAATTACGGAGAGAGTGCGGAGAGGGGCGAAGGAGGGGGTGGGGGGAAAAGAGAAGAAGGTTAAACATTTTACTCAGGAATCTGTCATGGAATGACAGAAAGCACAGCTAGGCTTGGAAAACAGAGGGGAGTGGGGGGGTGGAGGGGGGCGAGAGAGAGAGTGAGGCATGATGAGAGTGGGCTGGAACCCGACTGCTGTTCGGGAGCCGGTGTCACGCGATGTTTGACAAACACAGCTGCCCTTTCTGGCCTGCAGCTGTCCTTCATCTTTATTACAGTACTGAGTCAATGCTCCGGTCTGTGTGTACGCGCGGGGCCCACGGCGCGCGTGCGCGCTCGTACGTAAGTGTTGGTGCGTTTCTGCGGGGCTCCCAGTGACTTCATGTGAACTGGGAACTCGAGAATCTCAAGGAAGGAAGGAAGGAATCCCGAGTGCGTAAGAGCAGCACTGACAGGCCGCACTGATGGCGCTGTTCGGACTTCAGTGTGCTAAGCGCTAACGCTAAGGCTGTTAGCGTCACGTTCACCGCCGTGCATTTGCCCTGTTTCCCCTTCTAAGGCTGTTAGCGTCACGTTCACCGCATTTGCCCTGTTTCCCCCTCGCAGACTGACGTGATGCACCAGAACGTGTTCGACTACATCCACATCGACGACCGTCAGGAGTTCAGACGCCAGCTTCACTGGGCCATGTGTCCTCCCCAGCACCAGGGGGCGGCGGCGCACCAGGATAACCAGCTACCTGCAGGGAATGGTCAGTTCTTTGACTAAAAAGAAGTTGCCATATTAGCGGCTGTCGTTCCTGGCTTTGAAGGAACGTTCGTTAATTATATTAATTATAAATCTTTCGTGGTTTGTTCGTTAGGAGAGGACTTCGTCGTCAGCAGCCAGTTTCACTCCATGGAGGTGGGCGGAGTTCCTTCAGAGCTCTCCTGCTTTCTGAACCGATGCTTCATAGCCAGAGTACGGTGCCTCTTGGACAGCACCTCTGGGTTCTTGGTGAGTATTTAGCCTCAGTAACGTTTTATTTTCCGTCACAACACTTTAATCACATAATGAAATCAATCACTTTGAATTTTTTGGGTTTTTTTTTTTTTTTTTGCATATTTTTTGACCATTCCATATTATTGATTCCACCATTCGGATTAATCACAAATAAAAACAGGTGCGCAACAGATACCGATCGTACAAGAATGTGTCAATTAATCATGATTAATTGAGATTAATTACCCGTAGCCATCCTGTAATTAAATAAATTGTAATCATTTGACAGCCTTGATCTTTTAATAATAAGCAAGGCCGATTATTCAAAGCTGTAAAAATGTGTTTTTTTTGGACATAGTGGAATTGAATTGAAACACGGTCCCTTCCTCGGGGCGGTTGCTGCAGTTGTCTGTAGCCTCTCAAGGCCGTGATGACACAGCATCCAGAATACAAGTTTGACCTCTGTTATATTGGGGTCAGGAGAGGTCACTGTCACCAAATGCTTCTCTCTTTGCTGTGATGTCGGACGGAAGACGGGAAACTGTAGAAGGCGATTCCCTGACACGTAAACTGGAAGCACTTGTAGCACAGCAGTGAGTGATTACTGCAGAGACGCTTTCCTCATTACTCAATGAAACTACAGGAAGGGCAGATTCTTTTTTTTATGCGCAGTACAAATTAAGCAAACAAGTCAAAGAACGAAACGATGTTTATTCACTTTAAAAGATTTTTTTTTTTAAAAAAACCTCAAAGGCAAACAAATACACCTGAAAACCTCTGCATCCACTGCACAGAACAGCTGCAAATGTTAGCATGTAGCAAACGTGCTAAAGGAATGCGACGTGTGCTGTTGTGGACCACTCTTATTTTCTCCTTCTCCGTCTTCCCAGACGATGCAGTTCCAGGGTCGACTGAAGTTCCTCCACGGTCAGAAGAAGAAGACAGCGTCCGGGGCTTTGCTGCCCCCTCAGCTAGCTCTGTTCTGCATAGCTGTGCCGCTCCTGCTGCCCTCCATCACGGAGATGAAAATGAAGAACATGTTAATGCGGGGAAAGAGCAAGAGTGCGGGAGGAGGCCTCATCTCCGCAATGGAGCATGGGTAGGAAAGGCTGAAGTGATACTGCTAGTGTCAGAGGCCAAGTACACCCTCTGCTGTTCACCTTTTGTTCAACAATGTATGTATGTATATATATATATATATATACATATATACACACATATATATATATATATATATATATGTATATATATACGTATATATACATACATATATACATATATACATATATACATATATATACATATATACATATATATATATACACTGGATATATATATAAAAAATCCTCAAATTAAGATTCATTTAAGTATGCTGATTGGTCCGTCTGCGCCTAATTAATCGTCGAAAAAAAAAAAAATTCTACAATATACCTAAAAATGTAAAGAAACGCCCCTTATTTGACTGTGGCATAAATGATCAAATAAGATAAAGGTACAGTGTATAAAATAAATAATTCAGGCTACTGTGTCAATTACTGTCAAGTATTTTTTTCCTTCATCCAATCATTCGATTCTATATGTTTTTTTTTATTATTATTGTTTATATCAGTGTTCCCCAAACTTTTTCTTCCGGGGAGTCACAAACCTTCGCGACCCAAATCAACAGTAATTATTCATAAACTCCTGGGAAACGATGCGAGACCACCCAAAAAAAACAAAAAACTCTTGCGACCCACCACAGGTCCTCGACCCAGTGTTTGGGAAACAACAGTTTATATGACAGCATCTCACGTCCATTTCAGGTAAATATTCTCAGTATATTGTATATATATTTCAGTGTTTTCAAAGAATTTTTTTTGTTTTTTTTAGTCAGCGGACGTTACGATCCTTAGCAAAAAAACCCACAAATAAACTCAAAGTTGTTTTTTTTTTTTTTTCAGTCAGCTGGCATTACGATCCTTAGCAAAAAAACCACAAATAAATTATCACCCAAAACGTTTCACGAACAAAAAAGGAATATACACCTGTAAATATTCACACCTGTATTTTGAATGTGTTCAAAACAGTATTATGCAATGTTATATATAACCGTAACTCTTAACCTCTGACTGAGTTCAGAACCATTACTGTCAAACCGTGACCAATCCGGTGACAAACAGTTTGTCATTAAGGCTGAATCATGTTTGCTGCTGCGGTTTTCTATCCTGCTCGCTCTTAGCTTGAATATCTGCCCATCACTGATCCTTGGATTCGGATGTGGATGATGTCTGTTCTCAGTTTAAGGATGAGACACATATCGGAATAAATGAGTCATTTTTTTTGGAACAAATCTCTCCTGAACTAACGTGAACCTAACCAAGATATTCTCGTGATGAGTCAGTCGTCAATCAGTTGACAAAATATTTGGTTGGACTATGTTCCTGTGAGCGTGTGTGGGCAGTCCACTGAAATATCGAGACCACGTTTGTCTAAAAATACACAAATTAGAACTTCTTTTCAATTGTGCCGTAAAATAAAAATCTTCCTCTCTCTCTCCCTAACCCCCGCAGTGAGCGAGGGGAACACCTCCGGAGGCACTCTTTCAGTGGAGGAATGGGGGACGTTGCAGATCCTCTCCACCTTTCGTGTCCGACTCCTGGCAACACCCAGCGGGGTCATCAAACTCCCTGGACTCCGCTCTCCAAAGACAACCTCAAGTACCGCCCCGATGGTTACTACAACCAAGAAGAGCCGCTCAACTACTGCAAATCCTCCGTGGCTCCCCAGAAAGGTCTCGGCCCAGGGGTCGGAGCCGGCTGGCCTCTGCGCCCAAGCCCAGGTCCGCTGAGAGGCGGCCAGGGCGTCGGGTATTTTCCCCCTAACCGCTTAAACAAGGCGGGTCAGTACGGGAAGCCGTACCGCCTGTCGCCAGGCTGTCACGGCGGCAGAGGCGCCGAGGTGTTCGTGTCTAAGCTGTACGGGAACGTCCAGATCCCCGCGGACCCCGACAACTACTGCGTGGACCTGGTGAAAAACGAGAACGGCTACGGCGAGTGCTACGATGGGCATCTGATGTCGGAGATGCCCCCGATCAAGGTGGAGCACGACTCGGACTCGGAGAACGGCTGCGACGCCTACGGGCGACCCTGGAATTGCCGCGACCCGGACGCCGTGGACCGGCGCTACGGCCACGAGATGTACGACCACACCTCGGGCGTGCAACTCAAAGCCGAGGCCGATTTCTACGACCCGCAGTACTCGCCCTGTCAGCGCGCCAAAGCGGGCATCAGTCCGCCGTACAACAACGGCACCTATCACAACTACGCGGTGAACAACGGCGGCAATCACGTCGCGCGTCCGCCGAAGTGCGACAAGGACTTAGGGAACAACGACAACGACCAGTTCAGCCCCCAGAGACTCTCGCACTCGGACTCTCTGTGCGGCAACCAGTCCGTCAACCTCATGGACACCAACGTCTACGCGCAGGACCATCACAAGGCCTACATGCACCCCGACTACAGCAAACACGGCACTTACGAGTTCAAAGGTCACGGCCTGATCCACTCCATCAAGAGGGAGCCCATGGACTCCCCGCCGTGGTCCGAGGGCGGCCATGACATGAACCAGTCCATGATGGTTGGTCCGCGGAACATTATCCCATGCGTCATGAACGCAGCGCACAAGTCCACACCTTATATTTATATGCCGTGAAAGGTGAACGGAAGGTCAGCCGAACATTCAAACCCAAAACCGCACACAGAGGCGCGCGAGAACGTCACGTGTGTCTCTTTCAACATCTTGTAATCCGTCGATTCTCATCCATCGGATGCCACCAGCGTTACGAAAACAATCTTTTTTTTTTGGGGGGGCGAGGATTTCCAGGACGTCTACAAACCTCCTCAGTTTGATGAAGAGGTGACAAACAACGCTCAGGATCTTGTATTAGTGTTGTGACAATCAGAATCAATCGACAAATGAAATCCACTTTATGGAGAAGAAGAAAAAAAAAAAAAGACGTTTTTAAAGAATATGTTTTGTAGATGGTTCCGAGCACTTTTGGATTTAGTGACAACGAGACAGATTTTGTCTAGAAAAAACACCGTTGTTGTTTTATGTGTTGTGCTCACCTGACTTTTGTGGGAGGAACAAATACTTAGTCGTGTAAAAGACACTTTTGGGGAAAAAAACAAGAAACAAAAAACGTAAGTAATGGAAAAAAAAAACAAAAAACAAAAAACGTAAGTAATGTCGTCATCTGTTACCGCACATATGCGACGACTCGTGACGAATTCTTCCGTGAGTCAATTAAAGCATCTGCGTACAAAGTTTACAGCACCGCGGCTCGACCCACAGGAGGGAATGAAGATACTTGTTTCTATGCACTTGATTATCCTTATCAAATTTTGGGAAAACATTTAGGAAATATACTTGAAATCTACTGCAGCCCAGTCATTCCATTGTGGGGAAAATTTATATTTTAATTAGAGGTTTTTCAAAAACATGAAACATACACATAAACACAAGGGGGCGCAATTCTGCCTTTGCGTTGTTCAGGTACTGTACATAATTTGCTCCAACGTTCTTATAAAGGAATTAAATGTGTAAAAGAAACACAACGCAATAAACACAATGTGTTTGTTGTTTTTTTTAAAGCAAACAAGCCAAAAAACGTACATCTCCGATCTGTGTTTTGTAGGCGGGCGATGCCCACGTCTGTTGTAAGAAATACAGGGACTACTATGCAAGAAATCTCGACCAATGATTCCCCAACCATTGTGCCGTGAGAGATCATCCGACGTGTCGTGGAAAATGACCCAATTTCACTTAATTGGTCTGAAAACTATTATTTATTTAACGCAAATCATTTGTTTAGATCCATGAGTGCAACAGTGACATGATGGCACCTGGTGGCCATAAAAACCTAACTCAGAGCTGTTGAAGAAAATCATCACCTGTTTCTTTCTTCAATTCCTGTGAGTACATCAGCGTTGTGTTCAACTAAACAGGCCCAGGTTTCACGCAGTGAGCGAATTGCGGTTAAACAGAAACTAAAAGATCGTTTCATTTCATTATGTAAACTTCGTGGGACATTTTTCGTTTGGTGGTGTGTTGTCAGAATTTTCTAATGTGAAAAATATGACTCAAAAAGGGTCGGGAAGCAAACTTTAAATTTCCGCACTCCTCCATGCTGGTTCTTAGAGTACAAATGTGTTTTGTTACTGACTCATTGAAATGGATTTATACCAGAGTTTTTCCCACTGGGCTCAGGTGCAGAGAGACACGGTCAGTGAGGCGTCAACATTAAATTAATGCTGTTGAAAACATCGAACCCGGACGCGTCCGAAAACTCAAGTGACGAAACTAGGTTTCAGCGAAAGGTCCGTTTGGCACGTGTTAGACTGAATTGAAGGAGACTCAAGTGACGAAACTAGGTTTCAGCGGAGGGTCCGTTTGCACGCGTTAGACTGAATAGAAGGAGAAGAATAAAAAAAAAGAAAAAAAAAAGTCTGCTTTTAAAATGTTTCATTTTGTTTATAATTTCTTCAATACGCACAGTGACTCGTCGCTACATCAAGCTTCGGCTGAATGTACAAAGAATATTAATTGATGTCCATTCATGTCAAATCTGACCACGCTGGACAGTTTACAGCTGCAGTTGATCTCCGTGCCGCCCGCCTCGGTGCAAATGCGACACATCTCCTTCCACCCAGACCTTGTTTCCACACTCGTCCTTTTTTTTTTTTTGCACAAATCAATGAAAGCACCAAACTGATTCAGTGTCCGTGACGCTACTGTAGTGGTTTCGTTATTGCACTACTGGGAGTCGTTCAGTTGAAGTTTATTCGACCCAGACAGGTTGTTTGTTTTTTTTTTAAAGTCAACACGCACAGCTGTGCATGGTGTCACTAATTTGAATTTTTTTTTTTCTCTCTCTCTCTCTTCGTGTGTGTTCATTTCAATAAGTGTTGGACTTGTATTTATTGTGAGAGGCAGATGTGTATAATTAAAAAAATAACTACAGTTTTGAAGGCTTTCCCCCCCCTCGGCTTTTTTCCCCCCCCCCCCCCCCACTCTTTTTGATAAATGTCAATATTTGTCTCATGGAGACAGTTGCTGCTGAGGTAGCAAACATCGTGTACATATGCAGTGTCTTCCAGTGTTTCTATGTGTTTTTGTAAATGGGTCTTATCTATTAAAATACGTTTCTTTCTATGAAGAAAACACGCGGCGTTCTTCTTTGTTACCATTAGAAATTCAAATTAAAAATAGCAACTAAATAAGTCCACACCCTGCACTTATTTGTCTCTTCGGTAGCTTATACATTTTTCATATTCAGCAAGTGTGGGTTTTGGCCCTGCAAATTTGTGTCTCAATTAATAAGTAATTCCCAGAACAGACTACAGCGGATCTGCAGCCACGTCGCTTGTATGATTAATGTGCTGTAACGTTAGCGTGACAGGGGCTTCACACGATATCTGGGAAACCAAACACGTCGTCTCTCGCCTCCATGTGGGATGAAGGCTCTCGTGGGCCTGACCGCCTGCAGAGACACGGGCGGAGGGCGGGAGGGCAGGGGAGCGGGGGGGCGGCAGAAGAGACGGCCCTGGACCCTAGATTTAACACAGTCGTTATTTTCAAATTAGTTCATTTGAGCCTTTTTTTGAATTATTAGCTTACGATAGAAACTATTTATATAAGCTCGGATGACGGAACCATGATGTTTTTTTTATTCTAAATTTTTACCGTAAAGTCTAAATGCTCCCTCACTTAAATAATACAATAAAGTGTAGAACAAATGAGCAATTAGATAATAATAAGAAATACTGGACGGGAACAAGAAAATAAACTCAAATGTGAAGATAAATGATAATTATGATCACCAGCTGGTTTTAAATAAAATTACGTACTAAATTTGTTATTTAATCCAATATTAATTACGAGTTACGATAAAAATCAATTTCAAACAAAAATGACAAAAATAAAGCCACGGATGAGGATTTTAATCCACAGAAGCGTTGTAAAAAGTTCAAATTAATTGATTAAAATATATATATATATTAGAATTATGTAAGATAAATAAAAAGCCTATTATTAGTATGCATTGTTAAAACAAAAACAAAAAGAAGCGTTGTAAAAAGTTCAAATTAATTAATTAAAAAATATATATATAATAAATATTACAGATAAATAAAAAGCTTATTATTGTATGCATTGTTAAAACAAAAAGAAGACGTTATTACAGTGTATAATTAGAAGACCAAAGAAACAAAACTAAGAAATAACCAAAACAAATTGATAAAATACAATTAAATATATGTTAGAAAATCTATGTCACCGTAACTGTTGGGCTCAGAGTTACTTTTTGAATCCGTGAAATCCGTTTATAAATACTGCTGCACAGCAGCTGCCGCAGGTCAGGGCCAGTGTTTCAGGTGCAAACAACCATTTATTTCCTTTTTTTTTTTTTTTTTTTTTCCCCAATATTTGTGTAAAGATCCTGCTTCTTCCACTGTTGCAATCCAATAATAATGTATTTAACATAGGAAGGAAGTTGCTAAGACTCTCCCATGGCTGTTTGCTGCAGGTCAACGACCATTGATAAATACTTTTTTACAGCAAGAGGCAATAAAAGGACAGAGGGGCAGAAGGTGTTGACTTCCGTCAAGTTTCCAAACTTTAAATTTGAGAGCTGAAATGCTCATATTTTTCCCGCTTAGTTGGACATAGATTTTGTTTTGCTTCTGCTATCAACTTAACACTAATTTAAAAAAAAAAAAAATTCATCCTGTCTCTCCAGGCTGATGATAACGACCCCTAAACGTTCAATGTTTGTCAGAATGCGTGGTGATATCTTCTGACGGAGGGCGGAAAGGTGGAGAACTGAAACCTGGAAGTTAGGATTAAAAAAAATATATGGTGAAAACAATGAAAGGAGTTCAACCAATCAAGGAAGAGGAGGGACTGCTCAGGGCAAGTGTAGAGTAAGCAAAGTGTTTGATGCTTGTTGACAGCTGTATCTATGAGATGTGTGTGTGTGTGTGTGTACAGACCAAGACCTTTAATCCTACACCATGCAAGTTTGCGTGACCGTTCAGACCCCACTCTTTGCAGCTCCACACCATTTGCCCTAATTGGTCACGCCGATGTACAGAGTGTGTGTCAGTGCGTCGCGCACACACACACACACACACATGCACTAATACACGCTCATACGGGCAGATGCCCTCGTGCACACACACAGACACCACAGTGTCCACTTCTCCTCCCTGCAGATCCACAAGGACAATGAGGAGAATCCTTCAGGGTACATCACGCAGACACGCACATGCATGTAACACAAACGCACACACATTATCATGCGCATATACACACACCCTGCTAAGCATATGTGAGGCAGTCACGCAATCCCCCTGCCCCCCCCGCCCC